CAAACACTAATAAGTTCTTTGAGTAATATTCCCATTCACATGTTCTACCTCTTAGCTTGCTTTAGGATAATGATGTACTGATCTCCCTCTATGTAGTAAAGTAACACATCACAGTCAGAGGTATGCTCAACTTTCTTACTTGTGTCCCAGTTCATTAAATGGGAGGCTTAAAAAATAGCCCTCAGCTGCAATCTAATGCCTCATTTTGTGTAATGAATAAGCAGCTGTCTGTCTTTCCTCATTTCATGTGGCATACAGAAAAGCCACTTTTGTTGACGTCTGCATAGCTAGTAGGCTATTTAATATTTCACACTGTTGTTTCCAGGTATGGTGTAAATAAGCTGAAACCTCATCCCTGCTCTCATAAACCACCTGGACTTGAGCAATAGCTATGACAGATTTAAGACTGTTGTCCTATAGCTTTTATGACAGCATTCTATAGTTAAGAGAAACCATAGGTGGCAATCCTGTGCCCAATATACATGCCTAAATACACCTCCTTGCCTTCCCTAATTTTGACAGCTGAAACTGAAAGAAAATGCTTTTATGCTCAGCTTCCAGCCTCCATTTCCATGGAAACAGAGACCCTGATTATCCATTCACTCACATGGGTGTAAATGAATAGCATTTCCATCATAGTAGTAGACGGATGTGTATCTGTGAAAGACTAAAGCATAAAGAGAACAAGCCTTTCTGTCTTTTATCTGGATTTTAACAGTGAGCACACACATCTCCTATAGCAGCAGTATTCTAACATTTGGCACCAGGTGGGCAGAGACAAAGGATGTGGATGTTTGAAAATGGAAGTTTAAACTACATCTCCAAATATAGCAACTGATGTGCTTTTTGATTAAAGCTTTGGAACAGCCTCTCTACTGCATCAGCTGCAAAGGCAATAGGGCTTGGGACAGGGAAAACTGCCCAGTGCAAAGATTTCTTTGAAAACAACATGAAAACTCCCTGATGAGCATGCCCAAGGCTGCTGCAAGACTCCTAGCTTTCTTTCAGGCACTGGAATTTGGTCTCCTTACAAGTGAAGTCAGTCATGGTTGTACTGATGAATATTAAGAAGTGATTTGTTTCCTGCAAGGACACCATAGTTTCTTATAGGGGTGAAAACATATCTCAGGTCACTGTTAGGGCTGCCAAATGTTGTTTTTAAAAATACCGGACACACCAAGGTGGGCACCTCCTCCTCCCAGCCCAGACAGCATGAAACATGTTGTTTGTGCTTGCAGGAGCACCCAGCCCACATGCAAAGTGGTGGCAGCAGTGGCTGCTCATTCGTGCTTGTGCTTGGCACCGTCTCCTCCCAGAGCAAACTGCACAAAGCACACTGTTTGCACTGGGAGGAGCACTCAGTCCAAGTACAAAGCGGCAGCAGTGGCTGCAGCTTGGTAGTTGGGTTCCACGCTCAAATAGCATGCTTCATTATTTCAGCTTGGTAAGGTTTCCAGTTGACCCGGACGGTCTGGTATTATCATTCAAATGTCCTGTATTTTTTCATTTTTTCCCCTGAACAGTCAGTGAAAATATCGGAC